TGCTCTCCAACCCTTCCTGTTATTGTGTCATCATCATAACACAGCTTCAATAACTACAATGACATGCATGCATCTGTGTTCTAAACAATATTAAAAGGTTCCACTCTTGAAAGCATTACATTATTTCAGAAAGTTGTGCTTTCTACAGTTACTGTTGTGTCAACATTGTGTCAAATCATTTTGTGGGGATTTGTTTCCGATTCACTTGTCGTTAAAACACAAATATCAGTATATGATATTGACCACATTTTATTGACAGATTTATTTACAACATGTTTGCGGGAGCCGATGGTAATCCAGTTGGAGCAGGATTCAGAACAATATTCCCACAAAGGGCACTTCCCTGATACTTCCTTGTTTGCACTTACTTCCCTAAATGGACAATGTAAAGCCATTTTTCCGTCAGTCTTTTACTTCTTCTACTTCCTGCCATGCCAAAGCTGAAAACTCTAGCTCTACTGATGTGTACCAATGCTGTTAACAATCATGGTTTTACACTGCATTAGAAACAGTCAGAAAATAAAGTAAAGCAACAGATACATGTAAGGCTTAATGTTCTTAAGTTAGTGTCTGTAACAAAATAATCAACAAACAAAGACGAATGAACTGGCTCATATGATCTGTCACCAACCACAAACACGAAGCACTCCTTATTCTAACCTCCTAAAATAAATCTCTTAAAGGAGCTCAGGAATGTGAGGAATCTCTTAAGGAGTGTTCGGAGTAAACAGGTGACCTTCTGCATGTACCGTGGCAGGACTGTATGACCTCATTAGTCTTTCCATCACCTTATTTCCATTTACCCAAACCAGTGGCATTCCTCTTCAAACCATTTCTAAAGCAAAGACAGGAGTTGACCGGCCAGAGTTGCCTCAGAGAAGCCGGCCGTTTACTTTGACACAGGATCGAGAAACTGACAGCCAACGGGGACATGAATCAATGTCACACAGGTAAGCCGATGAGGGTGTAGGGAATTAGACAAATGGAAGCAAATGATCTTGCGAGGACAGATCATCTCAGAGCTGTGGCTCAGGATGAAACCTTGTCCAGGTAATCAGAGAAGACAATGCACAGTTAATGGGTTTACCACACTGAAAGGTCCCAGAGGCCGGAGTTTATCGCTCCAAAACCTTCTACTGCGCATTTCCCTCTTAGGTCAAACTCCATGTTTACAAGAACGATTCCCACAAGAGCAAAGGGTAAAGTAACCCCATACAGGTTTTGGATGCTCAGCTCACCCTCAGGGAATCTAAAGCAAACACAATGAGAGGTTAAGTTGTCCGATGTGTTAACAGCAGCTTACTTTGTCAGGGATTTCTCATATCAGAACTAATTCAAGTTGGTCAACTTCCCAAAAACATACTATCCCAAAAGATTCCCATTTTGAGAGATCGATTCATTAAACAATTAAATGACCTTTAGTTAAAAGAGAGATGTGTAAATGCGACTTCAACATTAACTTCCACAGTAGTTGGGTTTACCCGCAAGCATTGAGAGACGGAAAAGATCTGAGTAAATTGCATTCTGGTAAAAAATGTAAAAGGTTGATAAACGTCAGCATTCCTTGCTTTGTATTGATGTGTAAAAAAAACATTTAGAAAAGTTGGTTCGTATCAATGAATCTGCAGATACTGTATTTTCTAAATTAAAATCATTTCAAAATTAACATAACATGGCTTGTTTAATTTGTTTTGTTAATGAAATAGAAAAGCTTGCTAGTTTGATATGAGTTTGATACAAAGGCGATCATACTAGTCTCATTTGCACACCTCCATGTGACCCATGGTACCAGTGCCTCTGAACGAGGAGCAACAGAAGGAGAGGACGGGTCAGGAGAAACAGAACCCCTTGTTCCTTGCTCACTGTAAACAGTCCTGGCATGGATTTTTAATTAACTGGCACTGGGCCTGCCATACCAGGCATTTAGTGGGCAGGAGGCCCCACTGGCATCAATACAGATAATCATCATCAGGGGCTCAGCTGGAGGCATTCAATTTTCTTGGCAAGTGTGTTGCATTTGCAGCGTGTCCTGCTCCTGCAATAAACCTCCTCTGGATGCATTTTGGGAGTCGCTGAGCTCCTTCTTTAACCGGAAGAAGTGTCTGGTGAGGGGTTTGAAGGCAGCACCAATGATCTGCATGCCATGCAAGACACATTGACTGATGAGGGCCCAACAGCAACATATGTTAATACCTAACACATAAGTCACGTTAAACAGTTGACATGTTCGGCTTTGTATTGATGTATTTCTGCAACCTTAAGGCTTTTACCTTAAGTCAATAGATTTAAAGAATATTCATTGCAGCTGCACTCACAACAATGATTAAAAGCTTCAGAAATCTACTTGTTTCAGTCATTCTTATAAAGGGAATATGTGGCAAAGTGAAGGAGAAGAATTTTATAGCCTCTACCCGTTGAGGGAGGTAGCCTCTAAGCTGACCTTGGCAGAGGAGAAATACCTTATCTGTCTTCACAGTTTACTTTCTCCTACAGAACTCTGAGCCTCACACTGCTTGTTTAACTAACCAAAAGTAGCACAATTAAGTCCAACGATTGTGTAACGCAGTCTACATGCTCATGCTTCAGTCAATGCTGACGCTGTTGTCTATGCATTCACCACAACCACAGATGTGACTAAAAACGTGTTTATACATATTCATCTTTCCAGCATAATTACAAGGATGGAGAAGAGGCAACACAAAAAAAATCAGGCGGGGCCTCCTCGGTCTGTAAAGCAATTAGCAAAGACTGCGCAAGCGCTGGCACAAACACAACCTGTACACTGTGTGCCCTTTTCCTGTTTTTGCATAATTCTACTCAGTAGGACATGGTTTTGCTGGATGATGTTGTTGTGTCACGTCTGACAGCATCAAGGTTTGACTAATGAGAGTGTAAAACTAATGAAAGTACTTACAGTGTGGGGGGGGGGGGGGGGGGGGGAACTGTTTTCACAGAAGAGAAAACAGGACTGGTTTAGTTTATTGTGCTGACATACGAGTGCAAATGTGCAAGCTCCAACAAGAACCCAAAGCTCTGTGCAAAGTGTGTTGCTGCAATATCCATGGGAGCGTGTGAATAATAGCTTTTCGTTTGTGTTCACTTTGTGTGTTTGTCGGGTTTTACTTGGGTTGTTCACTGATGATGATTTAGGTGAACGTGTGTGGCTGCAAAAAAGTTCAAACTAAATAAACCGTCCACCTCCAAGTATATCCGGTGGGGCCGCCAGAGTGCAACACTTAACCCTCCACATAACCTGAAGACCAGGGCCCTTTCTCATTTCATCAAATCCCCCTCCTCGACTCCTCGGTCCTCCGGTAGTGACCCGGAAATGAATTTTAGCGCGCCATGTTGAAGGACATCTCATTTCTCTAAATGCACTTCGAGGACCGAGGATCGAGCGTCAAGGAGGCTCTCTGGAGGAGCTCTAACCGAGGATACACTGATGGGTCCTCCACGGTCCTCCACGGCTCCTTCGTGGATGCATTTCCGGGAACAGAGATGTTTCAAAGAGTCGTGACGCACGGCCGGACTTATCTCAGCCAATGACAGCTCTGCATGCATCCCCTGGATATTATTTTATTAACTGCTCTCATCGCAACGCGATGTTTACAGAGAGAACAGCTGTGAGGTCCGTGCAGAAAGCAGAGCAGTGTGTAAAATATATATCACTCAGTATAACAGGCCTACATTACTCTCTGTATATGCTGTAGTTTAGTAGATATCTACAAACAAAGAGTCGATATTTTTCTAAAACCATTTAGTGCTTCACATAATAAAATACACAACGGCTGTAGCCTGATTATATGCTTTAGGAGCTGTAGGTGCGTGTGGTACAGTGTGTAGGTGTGTGTGTTGTACAGTGTGTAGGTGTGTGTGTGTGTGTGTGTTGTACAGTGCGTAGATGCAGCGGACAGACAAGTCTCAGTTGGTTTGGTGTCCTCTGCTTACTTTTAATACTTGTAAATAAAACTTTTGGCCCGTAATTTATTTCCCTTATTGTAGCGACCAGAGAGGGGGGGGGGATATATATCCAGTCTCTGATAGTGTTACGTTATTATGAGAGTGCTCCGTTTGATTCTGAAATGGTATATATTTATATAATGTATGTATGTATGTATGTATGTATGTATGTGTGTGTGTGTGTGTCCCCGCATCTGTAGCCTGTTATTGTCTCATTATACCGCACTGTGAATGAATCAAAGTAAATATATATATGTCGTCATGAACACATCTGTCCATCAGACAGAGGCTGCTGTGCCTCCTGTCATCATTAATGGACGTCTCTTTAAAATGACCGCTCAGAGGAGAGGAGTTCTCATTTCTCTAACCGCCTGCTGCTTCCCCTCCTCTCTCCTCGGCTCCCCTCCTCGACTCCTCCGTTCCCATCTCCTGTGGGCGGGACTAAGTATCGAGGATAGGAGTCGAGGAGGGGAGTTAGAGAAAGGGCCCAGGTAAGTTAAGTGATGGTATCACAGAACAGGACAGACAAAGCGAGCTGCAGGTCAGAAGGCAAGTGGATCAACACACATGCCTGGGAGCCAAGGAGCAGCATATTCAACTGGCCAAACTGCTCTATATAGAAATGTCTTTAAAAGTCTTATTAAGAGCTAGCCGTTAGCCAAATAGCAACAAATTACTTAGTAATAATGTGTTGTTGTTACAAGCAAGTATTCTTTAGATAAGATTGGCAAACGTTTTTTGGGACATTTCCTTCCTTGCAGGCACCTATTGGTTTATCTCATGTCAGTGCAAAATGTTAATCAGCTGGCATAGCTGTGAGAGAGGGAATTCAACACAGTTTAATAATTGTAGCTTGTTTTGTTTTTTGTTTGTGTATGTGTCAAGGTGCCAGAGACTCTATTGTGATGCATTCAAGGATGCCCATGGCGCCAACCATATCTAAACAATTCCAATCTTGTGAAAATAAAATAAGTGGAGGACAGTAATCTATCAATATGTAATTAATGGCAACATCATTACATATTGGCAGTGGCTCTTACCATGATTGTTACCTTGATGATGAGCCTGTCTTCCTGACTTATGTCCTCCCTTGTGTCCACCCTGATGCCCAGCAGCAGGGTGCCCGTCCAAAGCCAAGTCAAGTGCAGGACCCAGACCCAAGCTATGCCCCTTAAAACCAGGATCCTTATTCTTCTTACCCTTCAGCCAGACCAGAGCCCGGCCCAGGGAGTGACTGCGCTTCTTCCGACCCCTTTTACTGTGCTTCTCCTGGGCAAAAATATCAACCACATCCTGGGGAAGGAGTTCCCCGAACCCCAGCGAGTCACGGTTTGACATACCTCCTCACACTGGAGCTAAGCCCTGAAAAAAAGAGAAAAAGGGAGAAAGGTCATTATCATCATAATCATCAAAACCCTACGTTTTCTTGCAGAGGGGGAGAAAATAATACAAAAGTATCACACTGGATGTCTTGATTGATTTCTAACGTGTGGCTCCCAGGGGTTTTAATAAATCCAGAATAAAAAGCAAAACTAAAAATGAAACTAAATCTTGAGTTACTTGTCAAAGTTACCAGATCAGTTGATGAAAACCAACCTTGTTGTTCTGTTCAAGAAAATCAAAAACAACTGATATTTTTTTATTTAGCTGCTGCAAAGAAACCTATTTTAACTCAAGAAGCAACAAATTCAGTGCTTTTACAACTATTACAGTATCTGATTACTGTCTGCCAGGTATGATTGCATATCAAAAAAGTTGATTATACGCAAGCATTCCCGCAAATGATGTAGCGGTATGTTGGTGCTTCCTCTAAACAACAGTATAATGTTCAAAATGATGGATGATAGAGCACCTCTGCCAAACAGGCTTCAGGTCAAGTCTTTTCATCTTGAAGAAAAGTTGTTTTTTAAATCAAGTTAAAATATGCTTTGGAAAATGCTCGTCATTGTCCAAATCTGATTAATCCAGTCATAAATAAATACAGCTTCCATAGTTTCGAAGTTGTTTTCTTTAGAACGTTAGTTTGAGTGTGTATCCATCTGTTTGTGTCTGTGGGCACTTCTGTGGGCACTTCTCACTTCTTCTCCCCCCCCCCCTCCACTGTCTCTAAACCAAACTTCACAGATCTGCAAAGAAAGCTCTGGCACCGCTCCCTTCATTCCATAACATGGAGTCATAATTCACAAAGCCGCACCCGTGAGGCTCCTGCACTTTTACACACAGGCACAACAGCAAACTAGGAAGAGCCAGCGAATAGAACAATAAACATTCACCAATGTGCATCGAGTTGTTTTTAGCGAGCAGTGCCCATGTTACTTGTTATGTTTCATTGTGTTCCTTAATCTATTTTTCTGCGTAGCATGAGCTCATCGCCTCCTCCAACCCTTCACCTCGCTGAACTATTCTACTTGGAGGCAGCTTACTCTGGGCTTCTTCCAGCTGCTTGCTTTATTGGATACTTATCTCTAAAATCACAGGCTAAAAGCAGGAGCAAGCTCTTAAGATGACAGGAGTCGCAGCTTGTAAATAAGCACACAAAGGCCGGAGGAAAGTAGGAGAGGAGTCAGAGTGAGAGAATCGTGAATCCCTGTTTGATTTGATGTCAAGAAAGTTCATGAAACTTTTTGGGCTGAGAAACACAACCAAACATCTTTTACTTGATGTATTTAAATGCTCCTAACAAGACAAGAAGCTAAACCATGTGTCATGTTCTCTGAGGTTTACAAATGTGACTTTTCCAAACTGCTTCTCATCATCAAAGAGCGCTGTAATGCCGAGGGGTTAGACGTGATGAGGGGTTAAGGGGCTCTGGTTTGGATGCATTCTTTTTTAAAGTGTCTTACATACTCAACATTGGTAATAAATTAAACTTTTTATCAGTCAAATCTTTCTTTATGAAGGCAATTTTGAATGCAGGACTTAGGGATGCTCCGATCGATGGGTCACCGATCGATATCGGCCGATACTCACTCTCTACCGATCGATCGGTGCTCTCTAAACATGCCGATCGCAAGAGCCGATCGCATGACGTAAAATACATGACACTTTTCTCTGTGTGCGGCAAACCAAGCTCGCCAAAATGTCTTCACCGGTCTGGCATTATTTTAAGGTGTCCGAAAAAGACAGTAAAATAGCGGTATGCAACGTGTGTGTGAAGCAGAAATCCTGCAGCTCCGCCCGCCGGACCGGTAAGCGGAGCGAAACAACACAAGAGTTAGACCTAACACACTTAGCTATTTTATCTACCTCTGGGACAAGCTAAACTAGTTATTATAAATATATGTATTCTTCACTGTCGGGTCACTCATTACTAGATCAGTGAGCTGCATGAGATACTGACAGGCTGTCAGGAGAGGGAGAGAGGGGGAGAGAGAGGGAGAGAGGAAAAGAGAGCGCTTCCGCTCATTTCTCCCGTGTTATTATCCAAAGTGAATGTAAACTTGAATAATGTACATCATTTGAATGTAATAATTAAGTTGATTATTGTTTGTGGAAGCTCCAGTGAATGAGCCCCATTAACTGAGTTTAAACATCACTTTAAATGGAAGATTTAAAGTGATGTTTAAATCTTCCATTTAGGCCCCGCCCACTCGATCGGATCGGCGATCGGTATCGGCCGATACTGATTCCGGCGATCGGCCCCGAAATTGGCGATCGGGGCATCCCTAGCAGGACTGTTGTGTTGGACTCCTTTAGTTTGGTCAGCTGTAGCTACCTGATAAACTGGCAACTGAGTAACGTTTCCAAGGCATATTGGTCCTTACTGTGTGCTTATAATGGAAAAGAATCTAAAGCCTTATGAGCTGTTCTTTAAGGCTGGACTAAGGCAAAGTGATGCTAAATGCTAATGTCAGCATGCTAGCATTTCACAATACATTCCAATGCTAATATGCTAATGTTTAGCAGGTATTATCAAAAATGCTGTATAGATATTTAACTTTGATACATAAGATATTTAAGCAGTAGATAGTTAAGCAGTAGGGTTAAACTCCACGTGTCACAGATACAGAAAATGTACTCTCATTTTTTACTGTCCTGTTATAATGTGTAATTTTGGACGTTAGCATGCTAACATTTGCCAAATAGAAATATATAAAAAGCTGAAATGTTGCTTTGCAGGAATTGGATGAGTAATCCGAATTATTAGACAAACTACAATTTTGACTGAGATTTTGTGTTAGAGGAAGAGTTACAAAGATGATTTGACTATTGATTAGATGCTGACAGAAAACTAATCCGCAACTGATTGGATAATCAGTTAATCGTTTAAGAAAACTTTTATGTAAAAATTCTGGAAAACATGACATTACCTTGGACTTTAAGAAACTGGGATGGACTTTTTTTCTCTGACATATTGTCGCCAAACAAATCATAAATCAATCTAGAAAAATTGAAAATTGGCAAAGTAAAGTAATATCTGGTTCTACTTTGTCTAGACGGAAGAGGTAGGCAGCCTCATATGGGAGGCTTAACATGGGGACTTGAAGCATAGAATGCTTCTCTAAACTCTATACATATGTGGGTGTTTTTGAAGTCATTTGTTATCTCAATGTTGCCCAGCTGAACTTGTTATCCACTGCTGCACATCTGATTGAGTCTGCAGTGTGGTCGGAGCAGCGAGGAGTTCTAGTGAAAGGCCAATAACAAGAAAGCATCCATCGTCTCCGAAGCAAAGTACCAGGCCTCTCCCTGCACTAAGCCCCGTGTTTCTCCTGCTCCAAATTACAGTCATTTGGGCATGACTAAGATCTGTGCATCTGTATTGGCTACAGTTGCCAATAATCAGATGCGTCTCTGGGGAGGAGAGGGGCCGCTTCCTTCATTTATAGCCTACAGGCTGCTCCGAGTGCAACAACTCCTCGTATTACTTCAATCACAGAGGGACCAGAGTAGTGCTAAGAACTATGGGACATGGCGGAGAAGGACCACCCAGCAGACTGTCTGCGCAGTCCGGTCACAAGGAGCTGACTCATGCCTCCATTGCTGTGGTTACACATAAAAACCTGCAATTTCAGCCTAACAAACAAATGTAATGAGGTGACGTACACGCTGTACTTCCAAATCATCACTGTTTGTTTGATGACGTCTTTTACATTTTTGCCCCCTTTTTTTGAACTAATACTCTTTTACTAAAGGAAAATCCCTTGGGTTTATCTAGGTAAAAGGTACCAGTCACAATCCTCTCTGTTAGATTCAAAATCTTTCTTCACGGTAATGCTCAAACGCTGACATCCGTATTACAGAGTTGCTTCATTGTCCAAGCAGTTATCTAGCCACAAACCCCAATTCATAAAAGCTGATACGCAAACCAAACGCACAAAAAAGGATTTGTTATTCGAGGATTTGTAGCAAAAACATGGTAAAAACCTCCAACATCAATAACCACACTGCACCACGTAAGAGTGTATCATATTACCGGAGAGATCATGATCAAGTCATATGCCTTAAGCTGATTGACAAACAAAAAGGTTGTATGTGCCCTCTTTCTCTCCATGTCTCTCTGTCTCTCTGTCTCTCTTCTCTCTCACACACTAAACCTGCGGTTGTGGTTTCCCAGCCCAGCCTCAGTCCTGCCGGAACAGGCATGTGTTCCAACATGCTGTTTACTTATCCTTTACAAAAGACACCAGGCTTCACATTGGACAGGAGATACCGCTCAAACACAGCAAACCTCAACGCAGTGTGTCAATACCTGCAGCACTGACTGATTATCTGACATTGACAGCAGTGTGTACACATCAGCATTTAGTAAACTGGAGCTGATAATAGTTGATACACAGTCATCATGAAATAGACTGAGTATATCTGGAGGTATTGATTCTGTACTTGTCTTGGAGAAGAGCTCGAGGACATGAATTCCTGAGTGGGTCTTCTTTAAAAACGTATACAGAGGAGGGTCAATAGACTTAAAGTGAAGCGAAGCAGTGACACCTGTCTTGCCTAAAGCAAAGAACAGTGGCAAAGATGACTGTGCAGATCCAGTCTCAAATCCATAGATATGCCAAAGATCACATGGCTCTTCTGTTCCTTCCTTTGACAAACACTTGTTGAAAAAGAATGAGGGAAAGCCAGTTCTTGTAAGATGTTTAAAATCTACTTTAGGTGACCTAAGCATGAACACACCCTCGACAGATCCATGTCAAAGAGAAATTGAAAACAATTCTCAAAGTATGTTGTTTAGATTTGTTGCGCACATTTAAAGTTAGTTGACAAATGGTTCCTTTGGTCTTAGTCAAACAGGACTTCATTAGTGGTTTAGACTTTTTTTTAAATGCTGGATGACTTTCTCCAAAATATAGAGAACATCTTAAACACAGGATTTAAAATGGTGCTTTTGCCTGTTCTTTTCATATGATTTGTAGTTCTAAGACTTTTTTGCGCAAAGACAGACCTACTGACTATGATTGTGAAAAAATGTCTGACACCCACTGCGTTGTTCAATGTGACAACCCGCACCCATGTGGTAAATAATAATATTAAGATACAAATTTAAGTCAGACTGCAAAAAAACAAAACAGTGACTCTAGCTAATATGAACAATGAGAATTTCACGGGCAGTGGCGGGGCAGGGTCTCCAGGAACTGTAACTCTTGTCTGCAGTGAGTCACACAGGGAAACTGACGTAGCAGACTTCAATGCCTCATGGGGATAAGGCAAGCCAAGAGGGAGTGGCGGTGATACAGGCAGCCACCTTTGTTTGAATTAGGACCCGCTCAGTTTAACCAGGAGGCCATTCACATCTACATTCGAGCTGCAGGGTTTCACATGGTATGATCCAGCAGTCAGAGAGCGAGGTTAAGGTCGGGCTGAATGTGGTTAGTCTCCCAAAGGTGGAAATAACAGATAACCAAGGTTCAGATTCTCCTTTTGAAGGATGTTTTGGATCTGTTCCAGATACCCTGCTGAAAATAACAAGTAAAGACTCAACAGTAACAGCCAGTTTGGAAAATAATAGTTTTCAAACAAGAATTAAAGTGACTTTGAAACTCAATTGTAAGTGTTGGGCAGTGTATAAACTAGTGTTAGTGTGCGGCACCTGCAGGCATCAATGAGGGCGTTGGCTGTGCTCTGTAGGCATTATTACACAAAGAAGAGCAGACTTAAGCAACCGTGTCTGGGCTACAGCTCTGCACACTGAAATACACTGTGATGGATGGGAAACAAACTGGAAATACTCAACTCACTATCTTAAAGGAGATAGTGAGACATTTTGAAGAGCATTGGGGGAGTGATCATGCAACATGGAACAATTCCCATCTTAAAGGGAAGTAGAGAGGATTACAAGAATTATAACTAATGAGCCCTAATACCTCATGAAAATGTCATTATAACTGCGGGGTTTTAGCGTAGCCTCAAGTTTCCTACAGTTTGGTTCCATACCAGCGTATCAGCATAAACACGCATTGGTGGTGAAGGACTTAGACAGGAACACAAGCCCTTACTGACATGATATGGTCCCTTCGTTTGCTGCAGAACGGCTACAGTTTCATAAAAAGACCATGTTGGTATTGACAGTGATACAAATAAACAACGCAGTAAGACAATAATGACGGAAAATAAACCAAAAACTTTATGTAACTGAACTCACTGAGGTTATGGACACTGTGTGTGTGTGAGTTCATGTGTGTGTGTGTTAATGCAAGTTGCCGCTCTGCAGGGCCGCTGTAGCCGTGCAGCAGCTTGTCTGGTAAGAGCAGCAGATGCATTCCTGAGAGATTGATAATTGCCGACTGAGGAACTCTTCACTCCAAATCTGCTTTCACCCCCCTGCTCTACCTCCTCTTCCTCCCTCGTTCTCCCGTCTCCCTTTCACCCCCCCCTTCGCTCCCTGCCACACATCCCTCTTGCAGTACAGTGGCCTAGGAGACTGAGCCATGAAAGAAAAAAGGGTAATTGCTGGCGCATGAAAGTCATTTTGAGATAAGATTATAATATGGGGCTGTGTGCACTGGCCAAGATAATCGTTTACTGTGTATTTCCTTTTAGAGGGGAGCGACTAATAGGCAGATTGCAGAGAAAATGTGTGCATCAAAGTATAAAATAAACTTTAAGACAGTTTCCTGAGAGTTTTGGTTATTTTTCCAAAATGTATCAATTTAGGATTACAACTAACAATCATTAAATAATCAATCTGATAATATCTTTATTGATTAATGACGTAAAATATTGAAAGAGTGTCCGTTATAATCCCCCCATGTGTGTTTTATGTGTCATTTAGTCCAAAAACTGAGATTTGTGTGTTTTTTTGCATTTATCTATAAAAATTCACATATGAAAACAACTGCTGATTCATTTCCTTTGAAGTAATCAATAGATCGACGAATCAATTCAGTGCCAATATTTGAGCTGCTGCTGATAAACTGTGGATGTCTACAATGCATAAAAAGTACACCTCCCTGGTAATTAATACAGATTTACAAACACATGTTACTGTTGCTTTTAGTAAATATGTATATATATATAAAATACAATCTTGTAGGAATGTAAAGTAAAATGTGCTCAGTTTGTACAATGTCCCCATGACCTAAGTTTGTAGTCTTTTTCCCAAAGTACAGAACAATAAAGCAATATAACTTCTCTCTGGCACTACAAGAGACAGTGGCAGAGCTGTTTAGTGTTTTGTTTGTTTTGCTTCCAGGGGTTGCCAGGGGTCTGAGTCTGGACTGCAGCCTGTGTGGAGCTTCAGACCCCTGATCTGTCAGTCAGGGGGGAAAAAAGAAAAAGTGTTAAGCAGTGCTGACCAGCCCGCAGCGAAGGCAAACACAGCTGGACACTCTGGTTTAAAAACACATCCTGGCATCTTGGTGTCACCGACAAAACTAAAACTCTGTAGCTGCTTAGAAATCCTTTCAATCTAGTTTCCTCAGTCTGACTGTCACGTGAGTGGACAGCATTAACACAAGAATGTAATGCGGGAATAAGAAGTCCAGAACTTATGTGAAGGGCAAAAGAAAACATCAGACAGAATATCAGAAATGAGCAGGCCTTCATGCCCTAATGCACCCATCAGCTATTGATTTAAGTTAATGAAGATATACTGATGAGTTACTCATCAGCTAATCCACTCATCAGGGAAATGTTTCCTCTCTCTGCAGACCTGCAGGACACACACATCAACGTCCACACACATAAGCATGTGCTTTAGTCTATTACAACACCAATTGTTCCTCCTCTTGACCCACACTCTGCAACCACTGGGTGAACACAGTACAGACGCCTACTTGGCACTATGTACCGTTTAAAGAAAGCACTTTCTGGTGACTTTTCCTGTTCCCTCCCTCATCTTTCATCCCGTCTCTACCTCAAACTTTTCTCTGACTCTCAGGTATCTCCCGGGCTCTGCTGTACCTCCAATGCTTACATAACACACCTGTAATCTCCATGGGTACAAGCCCTGGCATGGCAGGCTGGCGGAGAAGGAGCACCAGCACGAGGCACACCCTTTCTAAACAAATGGCTAAGTCTCAGCCTCACATAGCAGAGGGTACAAGAGGTTAAAGTGAAGCCATGGAGATAGAAAAAACAACATTAATCAACCATTGTTTGCTTGAAGTGCTGCAGAAAAGTTTGGATTTGGAGCTCTTGGTCCAAAGTGCAGGGGAGGAGGTGGACAAACAGAGACGAGGAGACCCCCTAATGACAGACTTGGCCATGTTATCTCTGTCAGGTTAATCAACAAGCAGTGGATCAATGGAAGAGCACAGACTGTCATTGACTGCCATACATTAAAGTGTCAGAGCTCCATGCTGCAGTCAAACAGTCATTTGCTGCTGGGTCAGTGAAGGGAAATAACACAATAGTGTGCATTGTCATAAACTGAGAGAAGCATACAGGTCTTAAATTACCTCTCACTGAGGATCCCTCAAGGCCAAGTTAAGCAAATCTCCCACACCTAGTTTTTCATGCATGCCTATACAAAACCTGGATCTCTTGCCATCCATTTGTACCTCACTTTGATTACGCTGTAGAACTTTTGTTTTCACATGTTGGGGCTATTTTCTTTATTTAAAAGCCTCTTCTTAAATGTTTTACAAGGGTTAGGGTTTATTTTGTTTTTTGCAACAACTGTGGACAACTCACAGGACAACATGATGCAACAACTTCACTTAAAAAAATATCCTCAAAGTTGATTCAGTCGAGCCTGGTGTTAATTCACTGCGATTTTTTAACTTGTTTTTAAAGCATTAAACTCTATTTGTTATATATTTACCACGTCACGCATAGTTTGGGATGCTTCATACGAAGGAAGGAAAATACATAAATGCTATGAATGACTCCACTTTTTAATTAAACAACAACAAAGTAAAAAAACTGTTCCTACCTTGATGTACTTATGTACTTATGTACGTATGGTCCAGAAGGATTGATTCACCCTCTCTCCATTGGAAGCGACTCCCTGCTGTCTCCAACTCTAAACTTTCACCGTCCGAAGGGAAACTTCAGGTGAACCATTTCCGTGAAAACGCACTTCAGGAAGCGACTGGAGTCTGGAAGTGTTTCTGCTGGCAGCTACAGGTCCGTGTGTTGCTGGGTGTCAGGCTGAAGTGACTTCTCCCGCTGTCAGTGCCGTGTGAGGACGCTCTGGTGAACCGCAGAGAGGGAAGTGGAGAGAAGGTTCCAGGACCTGCAGCTCCCACCTGAAGGAGGCTGCGCGGCCAGGTGAGCGCAAGGGGCTGCGGTCAGAGCCACGAGGACATCTAGTGGCGAGACAGAGGAAAAACAGGTCCCAGAGCAAGGGGGAGGAGAGGGTTGTTACAAACTGAGTTTAGAAATCCAACTTTTATAAATAAGGAAAAAAATACATTTTTTCAACAGAGAGAATTACCCAGAGTGTAGGAATACTCTGTTACAAGTAACAGTCCTACATTCAAAAGGTTACTCAAGTAAAAGTACAAAAGTATTGGCATGTAGGCCTAAATATACTTAAAGGTGGGGTAGGTAAGTTTGAGAAACCGGCTCGAGATACACTTTTTGTTATATTCCATGGAATGCTCTTAACATCCCGATAGCAATGTATATCTTAAGTGCTTTGACAAAAAATCCATAAAAAAATGTCATCTGTGGAAGCCGTAATACTGTAAAAAGCACGACCAATTATTTTAGCCGGCCCGGCTAAAATAACTGGATGGCCTAACTGCCTGTCAGCCTTCCATCGGGGCACAAATTTATCTCGAGCCCTCATTGGTCATGTGCGCGTTCGTGTGTGTTGGAGGAGGGGCTCTGTAAGGAAGTGGCAGATTTTCTCCGGTTGTGTATTTTCAAATTCTAGCGATCTCGAGCCGGTTTCTCAAACTTACCTACCCCACCTTTAAGGTACCAAAAGTAAAAGTACTCATTATGCTAATTGTGTGTCAGAATAATATATTATGTTTTGATTATATTTATTGATGCATTAATGTGTTATCAAAGCTGGTAAAGGTGCAGCAAGTTTTAATGACTTATATACTGCAGGGTAGCTTGTGAATTTACTCGAGGTGTATGATTTAAGTGTTGATTATATTTCACACCACGTAACTAAAGGTATTAAATGAATGTAGTGGAGGAAAAGTACAAAGTAGCATAACATTGAAATACTCAAGTACAAGTATCTCCAAACTGTACTTAAGTACAGTACTTGAGTAAATGTACTTGGTTACTTTCCACCTCTGTTTTTCAATGAGTAAGCACATGTGAATGAGTTGCATTTTGCACATGTTATTGAGACTGTTAAATGATAAATATGACATATCACATTATTTTACTACGGTCTGTACTTTTTTTATACATTATTTTCGTTTGTTTTCATTGATGCAAAATAACAAATCAGCGCAAAACCACATAAAATACATACAAAACGTTGCTAAATTATGACACATATTTAATAAGAGAAGTCTGTTTTAGCTTTGTGAAACTGCACCTTTCACACACAAGGTATTAGAAATATGTCCATCATAAATCAACATGTATGTTTAAAAATAATAATCATCACCACTTTTGGAGATGCATGTTGTTATTGATATTTATTGAAATGGGCGACAGTGCTGTTGCCATGGGCATTAATTTAATCATACATATATTATTTCTAACAATCCTGTTAAGATACTCTTTTTACAGGATTTTCTGTGTTTCTTTATTTTACATATGAGGAACTTGTCAGACAGCATGCAAAACATTAAAAAACAAATACTGTATATAAATCATGTAAACTTTATGAGCAGCTGAGCTCGATACTGAAGGAAGCTATTAAAAGATTAGGCCAGCTAATGTTGTCACTTCTGCCAGTGCAGTAGTCTGAATCAAAAATATATTCATTAACAACTGAAGTATATTAAATATAAATGTTTGTTGGATATATGTTGTGTGATGTACTTTCAGAAGTTTCTCCAATTGTATTTGTAAGTCAGAATCTAAAAGGAACACCCATTGCTTTGCCCCAAATGAGACTTACCCAAATATTTCCCACATGGTGTCCTGTAGTATTTAGACATTTGAATGTGGCTGTTGGTAATTCTGTTGCTTATTAACAGTAAAATGTATGTACATATTGCATACTATCTTGGAACCTCATGTTTCTTTCATAGCTTTTTAAACATTTAATATACTTTTGGGGATAGATTTGATTACAAAGCTACATTCTTCAAATGCAATGGGGGATGCTTTCTCTTTAAGAAAAGCTTAATATTGAAGTAGTCAACAATAATAATCTGTCAACCAATGATGTAAATAGAGTGTTGTTCCTTTCACTTATTCATTCATTGTCTAATATCACAGACTTGTGTGGAATGTGACGATACATTTGTGGAAAGTTGTTGCTCAAACACTTTTCAGTCCCGATGTCACCACCATCTTAGAGACACATAAAAACAGCTGTATAAATATAACTCTCTCCGGCTCCCAGGCTGGTCCGGGCATATGTTAGCTGATGAATCCAGAGCATGTAGGCCGGGCCGCCTCAGTGCTGACACAGTTTGTGATCCCCTGTGGGGGTATGACAGAGTCTTAGATAGAGTTTCCCCTGTGCCTCCAGTGTTATTAATACACATAAAGTGTGCCTCTGTTTTGCAAGAGACAGACACAGTGAAGAGCTGCACTAAAAGAAAAGTGTTTTCACAGCTGTCCGGACTGTCTCCAAATCTCCAAACAAAGTAAGTAGAAATATAAATGAATATGAATTGTTGCCGAACGGTAGAAGGTATAGGTTAAGACAATGAAGTTATTTAATGTAAGGCTCCCTTGATTGTTCGGTCATGATTAAATTAACATGTAATTGTTATGCAAAATAGCCTTAAAGGACTTAGAGGGGATTTCAAAATCTAATCAATTAATGTGGTGGGTTATTTGATTAATGGTCATTCATTCCTTCTCCTTTCTTCTTATAGCGTGTCTCTTGGATGGCCATGGACCAGCAAACATCAACAGAAAATGTGGAGAACACGTCATCATACGAGGACTCACACACAGGGCTTGTAGGGGATGAGATTTGCAGCCATGCTGACTCTGAAACGGAGACGGTCATGGAGGACTTGGGGCAGCTTTTCGACCACTGCATCCAGCAAGTGTCCCACATGGAGGTGCAGCGGAACGAGCTGATACAGGAGCTGCTCCGGCTGCAGGAGCCCATGCTGCGAGTGGTGGGGCGTTTGAGAGAGAAGCTGGTGGAGACGCAGAGGATGCTCACCCTGGCTCAGCTGGATTATGTGGCTGTTTATGAGGAGGTGACTGAGGTGAAGAGGAAACTTTTTGTCACAGCCAGAGACTGCATCCAGAGCCAGGTGACGCTGGCTGAACAACAGTACCAGGTGGCTCAGTCTGCTGTCACACAGGTAGGAACAAAGGGAGGATGCAGGTTATTGCAGGTACTTGAGGTCTGCTCTTTTTTATTTTAGATCACTAAACAGTTTTCTTATTATTATTATTATTATTATTATTTGATAGTGATCATTTTTATTTGTTTTAGCTTTTAATGGAACACAAACATGAGGTGTCCTTTATTTTAGATTACAAATAAACACAAGGCATTTCAGTGAAATACACATTTTACACCAATCCCAAATGTCCTCGAAAGTAAATCCTAAAGCTTCATCTTTCCATAACAAAGATTTTATAAACAAAATCATACCAATTCTCTCTGGCCTCAGTCATATCTTTGTACTTTTCTGGGCGGCTGTGGCTCAGTGGATAGAGTGCTGGACTTTGATTTCGAATCAGGGGTTAGCAAGTTCGAGTCCCACTGCAGTCAGCATGTCGTTGTGTCCCTGGGCAAGACACTTCACCCCAAATTGCTCCGGTGGGGATTGTCCACAGTGCTGAATGTATGTAAGTCGCTTTGGATAAAAGCGTCTAACTAAATATTCTAGCATCTACTCTCAGTGTTTGAAATACGTTTTAATGTTTGTGGGGGTTAAAGTAGAATCACTATAAAAACTACTTATAGTCCCAAATATAGTCAAGAGGTGTTCTATTTTAAATCTGTTATCCACTTTATGAATTGTGGACAAGTGACTGATTATTTTTGTAGCAAACACTAAAACCTACCACTAAGTTACTATGTGCAACAACCATGACTCCAATTCATCCATAGGACGAGCTCAAGGCCCACATCCAGAGTCTGACCCAGGAGTTGTCCCAGCTGCAGGAGGCCCAGCAGAACCAGCTGAACACCCTGAGGGACCAGGCCTCCAGGCCCCGCAGGCCCAGGGCCATGAGCGACGCCAGCCAGTGCCGGCAGGCTTCTGTCCAGCTGCAGCGGCGGCTCAGCGGCAGCATGAGGACGCTGGAGGGCTGGTACGAGCCCCGGCTCACAGCCCTGCTCAAGAGAAGGCAGTTTGGGGAGGAGGCCTTGAGAAGGAGCAGGGAGCAGGCTACGGATCTGAGGGCCAGCCTGGGGCCCCTGAGAGACGACATACAGAGACTTGAGATGCAGAGAGCCGGTCTGATGCAGAGGGTCACTCTGATGGAGCAGGATAGGGAGGAGAGTGTCACACAACACAAGGTACTCAAGTCAGGTGGGATTTAAACGTATGAAGGATGCTTGGTAGAAGTAAAAAAACTGAGAGGATTCTCCATGTTGCAGGAGACTGTGGAAAAACTACAAGAGACTCTGAGAGAACTACAAATGGAGGTTGAGGTTCAAAGAAAATCTAAGAAAAATGTGGAGGATCATAATGATGGCCTTTCAAAAGAACTGATATTCCTGAGGTATGTTTACTATAAGCTTTTTACTGATTTATTTACGTTGAATCGTGAGTATTGACATTTTTAAACTGACAAATGCTTTGTTTTACAGAGGGTGTGATGAACCCAATGAAATTGCTGCAAAGGAGGCTCCCTAAATTCCTTTTTCCAGGAGATATTCTTAAAATGATTGTGTACACCATTCCACACTACAAGATAGCATTTTATTTAATATGAAATATATATATAAATAACTATTATGCAGCATAATTCCACCTTGGAAGCCTATATTTGTTTCTACAGACTTAGAATTACCTACCTACCATCTGGCATAGTGTGCCAAGAAACAAAGCAAACTGATTTCATGTAAATATTTTATTATGAATATACTAGTACACAAGAGATCAGATGCAACACAGAAAAACAAAAACAAAGAAATAAACAAGTTACACACACAATCTGGAAAATTAATTCTATGTATACCAAGCTAATACAAGTAAAACCTATAGTATGTACAATTTTAATTAACAATGGATCTTCGTAGAATCTTTTTTCAGCACAACGAATCCGGATGAAAGAAAGGAAACCATCGAAAAGCAAACCTGAATGTTGAACACAGGTGTGATGGTGTCATCGCGAGCCAAAAGTGAAGCACCGGGACATTGAAAAACAAAAAATCTGACAAATACAGACTTACTTTACATACCTCAAGAAGAGATGACAATGCACTTTAAACATTTTTCAAAAACACAGCTCCCAAGAAAAAGGATTTTGAGAAAAATGCATATGCACCCAGCACTGGAAAATAGATGCAAAAAGCAGGTGAAATGAAGAGGTGTGGAGAGAATCACGCCTGGACTTCTGATTCTGCGGCGCCTTCTGGGTCCTCATCGTTGTAGATATTTTCAGCCTGTCGAAGAAAGTGTATTCACTGTAACTGGTATTCAATGTTAATAAATTCCCTTCAGAATAATGTCCATGCTGTTTCTGATATTTACTGGTCTTTATTAACCCACATCTTTTGATTTACTTCCCCAAGCTCTTACCATTTGCCAGACTTGCATGATGTTGTCCTCTGATACAGAGCAGATGACCCACGGCTCGTTGGGGTTCCAAGAGAAGTCTGAGATCTTCGCCGTGTGTCCGCCGTGGATGAACTAAAGAGAAACAGAGCAGCATGGGTCAATACAGCATTCTTATCCTCTTAAAAACACATGCAGTAGTTGTTTTTGTCAGTACTGACCAGCAGTTCAGGGGGGCCGTCCTCAGCGTCCTCTGGTGACTGCTCCTCTCCGATCTTACTGAGGTCCCACACATTGAGCCTCCTGTCGGTGCCGCTGGAGGCCAGGATGGTTTCGTTATGAGGAGACCACTGAACCTGTTGGGTAGAGATGGGACAAGTGTTACATTTCTGATACAAAAAAACAAACACTAAGAAAAAGCACCACTCAACAAGGTTTAAACTGATTTGTGTCCACAATGTAACCCTCCAAGGTCAATGCTTAACCTTGACCCAAGATTCTTACAAATCTAAAGATTGACCTTAAACTGGTCAAACAGTATTCCTGTTATAAACCCTTCTCTGACTCAAATCAGATGGAAAACAGCTATAGCTATAGATGCAGAAGTGGGATGGAAAGCCAGATATTGCAGTCACAGTCCAAAATGGTTAATGATTGTAGAGATATCTGCCCTCTCTCAAATATAATGGAACTAGGTAGGCATTTGGCTTATTTATGTGCTTTGAGCACCACAAAGACGCATTCTAGCTTTATAATATTCAAGAGAAGACAGACATCTCTACAGCCACGTCTTTCTTATAGTGAATGTACCACACATTTTTTAGATTGAAACATAACTCAGAATGTACAACAAACTATTTCAGATGAATTTACATAAACTCATGGTCACTTCTTACCTGGAAGATCTCGTCCTTGTGAGACTCAAACGAGTGCAGCTTCAGCTTCAAGTTCCTCAGGTCCCAAAGAGCCACGGTCTAAAAACACAAGAACTGAGTTTTAAACGATTTAACTCATACTAAATGAGGACAGATTCTTCTTCACTGAACAGAAACATACTATGAAACAGCTCTACAGAGAAAGATGTGGACCCACCTTATCTGCAGAGCCAGAGGCCAGGATGAACTCGCTGTAGGGGTTGAAGGATAAGCAGTTGACCTCAGCAGTGTGAGCGTCCACTGCATGGCTGGGCTTGGAGGTGTTGTTGGACCGTGTGTCCCAGCTGTGCAAAAACAGAAACAAATATATAGTAACCTTTTTTTCCCAAGCCATCACAGTAGTTAATGGATTTTGTTACCAACTAAGGGCTGCTCACATCATGAGTTTCATGTCATCGGCCACAGATCCAAAGAGAGACTCATGCAGCAGGTGCCAGGAAACATCCTCCACCACGGCCGTGTGGCCTGTGAAGATGGTCTTGGCATCCACTACCTTTCCCTCTTTGGGCACTGTGCTGATGTCCCAAAGGCAGATTGTCTGTAAGAGAGAGCAAATATGATTGACAAAATGATTTTGAAAAAAGGACAGTATGTGGGCTGACACAACAGAAAGACCAGTTAGGTGAAACAGTAACAGGTTAATAAATCATAATTATGTTAATAAGGACATACAATTTACATGCACGAAAATCAGTTTTTAACTATTTTTTCTGAAAATGACGTAATGCCTACTACGCTTGCAACGTGGCAATTGAAAGTATTCCCTAAATAATGCCGTTTACATGAAACCAAGCAAAATCTGACATAAATGTTGCTTATCACGTTAAATCATGGAAAATTGGAACAATTGTATGTGTCCAAAGAATGCCATCATATTGGCATTTCCCACATGTCTTCATCAAAAAAGGCCTATTTTGGAATAACCAAAGGGAATATGCCGTTTCCATGACCAGTATCAAATTCGGATTAATGGTGAAACATTATTTAGCATGTATACATACTAAATGATGATTAAAAATGTTACTTGAGCTTCTAAAAAACAAGCGATTTTAGCTCAAAAGAAAAAATCACTACTAGACAGAAGCATTTCAGCCATTTTATGAAAGGTTACTTACATGATCATCAGAGGCACTGAGGAGGCAGCCGCTGAGGTTTGGGTTCCAGGAGAGACCATAACCCTCCTTCTGGTGGCCTCGCAACCGCAGATCTGGGGTGCACTCTCCAGAAGGGTCTACAGCGTTCATAAATAAAAGCCAATGTTACAAAATGTGTGCAAAAAGAACGCTTGATGTCAAAAATGTGCTTTGGCTGTGCTCCTACCAGGTTTAGAGGGGTGCTTTGTGTAGTCAAAGACCAGCACGTCGCTGGTGGGGGTCTTAGTGGCGATGATGCAAGGGTTCTGAGGCATGTAGCGGGCTCTGTTCACCTCCCCCTCATGGTTTATCTTGATCTCAATCTCTATCTTCCCACTGACAGATCCAAAACCTCCAAACTCTGAAATAGAGGGACAACAGTTATGATTGTTGCAAATGAACAGGTTGAGTACAATTATTTTCTACCGAGTATGCTCCATGAAAATAATGTCTTAAGCATTTTATCAACTAAAATGTTATTTCAAACAAAAATATCAGAAGCAATTAAAATGTCCACAAGATGTAAATTGGAAACTATTTCATGATATAGAATTACAATGTTAATATTAAAGTAATGCAATGGCTTAGGAGAAAGTAAATTAGTTTCATCTATGTCATTTGGAAGTTTAAATAACCAGTGGACATAATTGTACATTTCATTACCATTTTACATAGTTAACCCATCAATCCATTATTTGTATGCAATGCACAGCTGGGCACCCTGTATAATATAGTCTGGTGTTTAACACAACACAGCTTTCCATGCACACATTATCGCTCACCTCCTTTCTCGCTGTCATAGTGTGAGGCATCAAACTGCGCATCATCATTAGGAAGCTGAACACTAGCAATGACAAGGTGATTCTGCTCATCAGACGTGTGTGTTCCCAAAACCAGCCTGTGTACACTGTAGTCTTTCCCCTCTGGCCTGTGAAGAGGAATTCATTCAATCATATATTCATTCATTTAAACAAGTCACAATTTTGGTGGATATAGAGGTGCAGCAGATCTCCTCTCACCTGGTGACATCAGGCAGCCATTGGGCAGTGAGGCTGGGCCACTCCAGGGCGTGTGTCATGACCAGGTCGTAGAGGAAAGGCGTGTTCTTCTTCCATATCTTGTACTCCTCATTGATCACCCTCTCCTCCACGGCATCATCAAATGCACCTGCAAATGCAATATCTTTCAGCATCAGAAAGTCATGTTATAATGATGTCAGACATACAGCATTTAATTATCTTGGACATAATATAGGATACCTTGGTGACATAAAAGTTATACCCGGCTCTGCAAAGTCTTATCCTTTTTAAACGTACAGCAAGATTTGTTTTGCTGCTAAGATGGCGTTGGCAACTTGGCACACTTTTTTTTATTTTATAGAAATACAAATCTAAAAATCCTTAGTCAGATAAATAGAGTCTGAGCAACATGTTTCTTCATGTGCATCAGTACCTTAACCTGCACTCATAAATTAAAGCCCGTACATGGCCAGCCTGTTAGCAGCTAACGTTAGCAAACAGCTAGCAGGCTGATTCGTTTTTAACAATGAAAGGTGATGCAGGCTGGCGCGCCAACAACCACCGGTGCATCCTGACTGCTAGTTTCTATCATTCAACACACACACATGCACATATTTAATCAGTTAATTCCGAAAAGTGAACAGCCTTACCCTCTTTATCAGCCATTGTGTCGTTGTTTAACCACAAATACTGGCAAGAAAATAGGAAATAGAAAATCTGTGAAAGAGCGCTCTGTAGACAGCACGGAGGCTTGCAATGGCGCCAACTCCGTAGAACACGACTGGCCAATCAGCATCCACCAAACACCGACCGGAAGTCTTACCCGCAACGTATGACGACATCCGGAAAGCCCTCTTCCGATATATGTTGTACTGTCTGTAGTCACATGCAACATACTGTCACTTGTTTTGGTTATTTTACAAATAGTTGAACAAGTTTACAGCTACAATGGACGACCGAGAGCTAGACCTGACAGCAGCACAGAAAGCTACCAAGTCAAAATACCCGCCAATCAACAAAAAGTATGAATGTAAGTATGAAGTTATGATACATTATGTAACTAGCTTAGCTCGTGAACCTTACTTCAGTGATAGAAACTCTTCATAAACAGTCTCCAACATGAGCTTACTCTAATAGATGTTATGTACTTATCTCAATTAGGTGACATAAACTATAAATATGTCCAGTTATATTAGAAGTGCTTTCCAGGACCATAAGTCCGAGATCACAAAGTTGCAGATGGTATTACTTGGTTTCAGCTACATACGCAGTTCCCTGGAGTAGTATGCTGCTGGTGTTCCTCCTACTTTTTGATAAACGCAGGTGCTTCTTCAAAATAATAGGCCACTGTAAGACTGTCATTGTCAGGTTACAGAATATGAAAATCTGACAGATAGCACATAGAAATGAAAAATGTTGGTACTCAAAAAAACTAGCATGACGACACACAGACTAGCATTGCTAAAACAAACCAGTGTCTCTGTAGTAGGCAGTTACCTCGCATTGTAATCTTAAAAGCATTAATCTAGATGAGTAAAAAGTAGAATATATGCCTCTTAGATTTAGTGGAGTAGAAGTATAAAGTTGCTTAAAATGGAAAAAAGTGCATATAGATGTACTTGGTTACATCCGACCACTAATCATGTCACCATGTGTTTTCGTTGTTACAGACCTGGATCATACAGCAGATGTACAGTGAGTGTGTTTTGATATCTTTGTCAAGTGTTTGTCAGATCTTTGTTGGTCTCTCTGTTATTTAGTAGGCATACTTTTATATTTGCTGCTCTCTCTCTCCCAAGAATTCACTCCTGGGGGAACTCTCTAGAGGAAGCGTTTGAGCAGTGCGCCATGGGCATGTTCGGCTACAT